CCTTTCACTTTTATCACTTTGTTGTTTTCATTAGTTTAAAACGCTGTGTATCAATACAATATTTTTTCAATACGTGAGTAGGTTTAATAGTTCCCCCTTTTAACAAGGTTTTTTTCATTATTAAGTTTGGAAACTTGTACATTCAGCTACGATGTAAAGAGAAATTAATTGTTTTTTACATTTAGATATTGTGAAATCGTTTTTTCACATGTTATAGAGCATAATTGTAATAAATTTTGACTATTTACTAATACTGGATAAACATATCATAGGATTTGTATTTTTTTTTTTATCATAAAGTAAGTTTGAAAGTAGGACTACTTTTTTATTAATAAATTTTGGATTTTAGTTACTTTTGACAAAATTTGTTTTATTAAATTTCTCACTTTACTATCATTGGCCTCCAAAAGTGCTGTTAGAAGTATTTTTGTTTGTAATTTAACGCCAACAAATAAAAATTACTTGATAAAATTCAGCAAACTGTCCGATAAAAGCCATTAATTTCCAAACATGACTGCGATATCCCTAAAGATAAGTGGATTATAAAGACACACAAGATAATCCATAACGGATCTCAGTGTCTTAACACATAAATTTAAGTGCGACTAGAGACGTTGACCAAATCCTTTAATTCCCATCCCTGGTGTGGTAGAAGGGGGGGGGGAGTGGACAGGGCGCAGGTGCCCCAATCATTGTTCCCCTATCACATTTAATTATACATGTTAATTGCATTGCATTAGTGGGCCGGTCAACAGGCCGTCGGCCAGTCTCCACTACTCAGGCCTGCGGCCGGTCGTCAATTACTGGTACGAGGTCACCAGAGTACACTACTTGACTCACACAAAAACCGTACAAAGTAATCAGCAAACTAAAAACTAATTTGATGATTATTTTTACTGCAGTTTTCTAATTACCCGAATAGAGGGGGGATTCTAGTTAAGATTATGATGAAACTAGGGGGGTTCATAATCCAAAAGCAGGAACAAACCAAAATTACGAAAAAAACTACTTCTCTATAATGTTAAACAAATATATTCAAATTTAGAGTATACATGCTACTTACGTATAAATCAATCAACTGCTATAACAGTTTTTAATCCTGACTTTGCTGCTCTTTCAACCACTACTACTTACTATTTACAAAATAAAATCCAAAATGTAATAACTTTTTTATACAACGTTCTGTTAAAATATGTTTATTTTAGTCCAATTATAAAATATCCAGGTGGGTTTCGTAGGTAATTTTATTCGTCCGAACCTTTGAAATTAAAACCACCAAATTTAAAACGGAAAAGGTTTCAGATCCTTTTACTTTAAAATCCCACAATTTTCAAAGCCAGCGCAGCGCGGTGCGTCGTCTGTGACAATGCGATCCCTGGAGGCACCGCAGTTTTCTCGGCCATTCCAATTAATGAAATGGGCAGCGGGCTGTACGTGTACAGTATATACTGTGTATAGGGTAGTGGCAATCTCAATCCTGGTCGCGTGTCTAGGTCGAGCATCACGCAACAGGCTACATCAGCACTGGCAGCAACTCTGACTCTATAGTGCTGGGTACTATCAGCTGATTCTGTGATTTGTCTTTCATGAGCTACATCAGCACTAGCAGCAACTCTGACTATATAGTGCTGGGTACTATCAGCAGATTCTGTGGTCTTTCATGAGCTACATCAGCACTAGCAGCAACTCTGACTCTATAGTGCTGGGTACTATCAGCTAATTCTGTGATTTGTCTGTCATGAGGTACATCAGCACTAGCAGCAACTCTGACTATAGTGCTGGGTCTATCAGCTGATTCTGTGATTTGTCCTTCATGAGTTACACCAGCTCTAGCAGCAACTCTGACTATAGTGCTGGGTACTATCAGCTGATTCTGTGATTTGTATTTCATGAGCTACATCAGCACTAGCAGCAACTCTGACTCTATAGTGCTGGGTACTATCAGCTAATTCTGTGATTTGTATTTCATGAGCTACATCAGCACTAGCAGCAACTCTGACTATAGTGCTGGGTACTATCAGCTGATTCTGTGATTTGTATTTCATGAGCTACATCAGCACTAGCAGCAACTCTGACTCTATAGTGCTGGGTACTATCAGCTAATTCTGTGATTTGTCTGTCATGAGGTACATCAGCACTAGCAGCAACTCTAACTATAGTGCTGGGTCTATCAGCTGATTCTGTGATTTGTCCTTCATGAGTTACACCAGCTCTAGCAGCAACTCTGACTATAGTGCTGGGTACTATCAGCTGATTCTGTGATTTGTATTTCATGAGCTACATCAGCACTAGCAGTAACTCTAACTATAGTGCTGGGTACCAGCAGCTGATTCTGTGATTTCTCTTTCATGAGCTAAAGTATTGAAATGCCACTCATTGAGGAAATAAGTATGAAAGTAAATAAATCGTTTTCACGAGACTCGCTCGTAATAAAGCTAAATGAACAACGATATTACTTGGGTCCACGACGAACTATACTACAGTTCGTTGGCTTCCACACCGGTACAAAATCAGGATCAATTAATACGAATACAAGAATAATGTTCCTTCAGCTACAAAGATCTTGGTCTTTTCCGGACCAAAGTCCAGAAAGTTAGTTCGTGATTACATCTTTTGTGAGCCTGGATGCACTACTAAACGTATACAGTATTGCTGTGATAATAGGCAATATCTTACTAGATAGTTTACTTGCATATTTAATTTATAGAAAGATCATAGATTTATCGTTGTGTGATGAATGCAAAACATTTCTGTCATACCTTCACATCAATGATGTAGCATGATATAAAGCTTTAATTAACATGAATTTCCAATCCAATGATAATAATTTTTTTCTTGAATAAAATACATAAAGGTAAAGACAATGATTCGTTGCAATATCCTGAATAGTCAATGGTTTCATTTCCACGATCTAACGTTTAATTCGTTAATGCACTTGTCCCAGAATAGATTAAACTAATAGTTTGATCATACCCAAATACAATTTAACACACAATATTATAGGTTTTTAATCTTTTTGCTTTAGGAAATCAAATTTACAATACTGTATCCTAAAATGTACTGCATTATAAAAAAGGCAACTTATTGACTTGACTTATTTAAAACTCTGGGTTCAGAATCACCTAAAGGGGGTTCGTTTAACAAGAACGATGCGGTTTATCACAAACGCAAGACGACATGAGTCATCGGCACAAACGACTCAATCATGTACTGGTAGTCATGCTGCGCGGTATATTGTTGTAGTATCAGCTAATATAGGAGACAACTATACAGACTCGGTGATCTGGAACTAATATGAGAGAACCTGTGGCGGCTAATCAGAGAGCTGTGGTGTACAGTAGGGGCTCGGCACCCCGCTGTCTCTTGTTTATCCACAATCAACGTTTACAACAGGGGGCTACGTTGGAACTACTACTTTTTAGGATAGAGGGTGTATATTCGGTTTTCTCAGTAAAGAGTGCTTGGGAAAACATGGTCCAGGCTCATGAAAAAATCAAATCGAAAACGGTTTAGCACGACACTAAGCAAACTTGTATCTCCAAGTACAAACCGTATGTGGTACTGTAGAAAACAAGCATTTTCGCAATTCTTGCTATTTTTAGGGCTTACGCCAGTGACATTTTAACGATGAAGGAATCAAAACTCTTACGAGAAAAAGCTGTCAATACCCATCAAATTGTTAAGGATTTGCTAAGGATCGAACTAGCCTTTATTGCATTGAAGTCCGAGACGCTAACCAACATATTCAAGTCTAGTTATAGCGGTGACACTATTAACTTTTTTATTATTACAAACGAGTTTGAACTGTACCCGACGTTTTTTTCCAATATTGTAACAAATAAATTAAACGAAAAATGTATTTTAATTTTCAAAACTCTCTTGCTATTGTAAAAGTAGTTGTTCGATTTACACAACCTTTACAAATAAATAATGAAAATATCTTTATAATTTGTATCAAACGTCTGCAATTAGATAATCATGTATAACTGAGAGCAATAGACAGTATACACAGGTAATGAGATTGACAATCTACAGAAAGGACGTGTCTCAGAGAAGTGGAATCCGCCGGAAACGCTGAGTAATATTATTCCAGTCCGGCTCGAGTTTGACAATTCAAACCATTCCAAATGCCATCCACACACTCAGACCTACCCTAGGCTCTATTCGTTCCCTCGAGACGCCATTTTGTCGTCATCCCTCCGTCTTCCTTTTTCTTGCATACCCCACCCCTAGTCGAACCCCTGTATAGTAATTCTACTATCACAAGTTATGTGAGGGGGAAGAACAACCGGGGGAAAACGATGCAGCCCTCGAGTCGACCTTTATTATACTCAGTTATTGGCCCTTAGACCCGCTCGATCGGTAACATTTTCTAATTAGACATCGAGCGCCCCCGTGTTCTGATTTTTCGCGGTAAGTTGATAAAAATCAATTGGAGTTTTACAGCTTGGGAATTGAAAGACATAATCGCTCTAAAGCGTTTGAATTCTTTGGTTAAATTAATATTATGAGTCATTGATACATTTTATCATTGGTATTGAAAAATATGAATGTCGAGTTGAAAATAAATGATTATTGAATAAATTTGTGGTATTAAAACCAGTAAAAGGGATGAATCTGAATTATAACGTCATTTGCACACTGTATCTTCTTATTAAACTCTTACATGTATTCGTGTTTAAATAGCTGTAACTAATCTCCAATATCGTCACCGACTAGCTACTTAGTTAACCGTCAAAACTCGGTACAGAAGTAATTTAAACTCTAGAAACTGTCACCAAGTATTTCCTCACAACCCAAACGTCATGTAGTTGTGGTGTTTATTGACTGTAAGCGTGCGGAACGATGTTAATAGTATTAAGGCGAAGTCAGTTGAATATTCATGGCCAGGCTTGATGCGGCATTATCAGCACCGTTGTAGCCCGGTGTGGTAGTGGGGGTAGGGGGGGGGGAGGTTGAGGTACACGACTAGTTAGATAATCACATTGGAGATCACTTACCTATCGATGATAACAGGGTCAGACGGCGTCTCGTTGCGGTTACCACAGCTTTTCTTGTCACAACACCGACTGGAAACAATACATTTTGTCAGTTAATGTACCAATTTTATAAATTACATATTTTAAAGTAGAGTACAAACATAACGACAATAACGCAAATAGCATTATTTTTTTAAAGATGTGCATTGATGTCTAAAGAAAATGTGTGTTGGTAAATGTGTGGATGGATACTGTTCGTTAAAGAATTCGTTAAGGAATGTAACATCTATGAAAGATGCACTTAAAAATATCAAGCTAAATGTGAAACATCCACAAAATAGTACAAACGCACTTTTAACAACACAATAATATCAGTTTATTATAGTTTCAGCATCCAAGCAGTAGCTCCAAATAAATTGAATCTTCTTCAAGTACGAAACCATTATATCCAATAATCTATAATGATCCAGTATTCAGTTTTTCAGAATTTCGTGAATAGTGAACGAAACACCACAGTTTAATTTTTGACTCGTACATCCAACTATTTGAGAGACTTAACTTATCTCTTAAAAATCACACATAAAGGAAGGGTAAATTTCGCAATAACATTGAGTCGAGCCATTGTACGTGGAGGTGTAGGTACAAGTGTATGTTGTGTGGGGAGACGACTGTACGAGGGTAGGTAAGGGAGGGGGAGTGATAACCCCTAGGGACCCACGAGGGTGACTTGCACTTCCTATTTTCGGAGATATCGGCGGGACAACATTATGGCGTTCCAAGACGCATTCCTATTGTTATGTGACGGTGTTTAGGCCATAACCAGGTGATCACACCGTGCCAATCAATTTTACGCTCTTCCCTGTTACGACAATGAAATGTGGATTGGAAAAGGACCGCTGCCTTTACAATATCGGCGTGGATATTGGTATGGAAAAAGGTCTTCTGGCTAAATGTTCTTATTTGTTTGAGTGTATATGTTACGCGGAATAAGTTACAGTATTTTGATGGTACAACACAATATCCATACAAAGATTGTATCTAGTAAAATGGTGTAGAAACTACCCTGTAAAGTAGATATCGGAAATCATCAATATTATGGAAACTCGTCAGATATCTGTTAAAGCGGCAATTATAAAAATTGGGACGTTGTTACTCTACTTAAAAAGATTTTAATAAAAATATTACTTGAAATTAATCGTTTTGTGAGCTAAATTATTAGTGACACAGTTTGGTGGTAATCTCTAAAGTATGTAGTTCAACAGGTGAAGATCATTTCAAGTGTGCTATAACTTAGATAAAACTGGAATTCTTGGTATTATAAAAACTGTAAAGTATAGAGTTAATTTTGGAAACATACTCTGTATAAAGTATGAAACTTAAGAAATAGTCACAATAATTGGAATTACCTGCACATGACCTCATGGGTCAGCAGCACTCGACACATCTCCGGGTTCTTGTCCTGGCCTTCGTACACGATAGCCTGCAAACATAATATTGTTACTGATAATGTGGGACAAAATCTAATGTCTACTTACACACACAACATGAAGTTTTTTACGAGTTTAAGGGAAGACTTTTTCTGATAGCTGCTGTAAGTATTCTAGTTGTAATCTATGGACATTTGTAGGTATGCTCTCTATGAAATGATTAATAGTTATGTACTTCAACAGAAAACACAATTTTTAAAGTTATAAGTATTATTATTAGAGTATTTGATTCAGTATTTATCCTATTAAAACCCCCACTACAACTGGTGATATCTATTTTTTTTTCGTTTGCTGAATCGAACCCCAAATGTTAATTCATAAGAGTATAATCTTACGTGATATTACAGTTCTTTTATTTTAAACACATAAATCCCAAACATTCTGATATAAATATTAGATAGCAACAAAACTATAAAAAGTTTTAGGTACTTTTACCAGTGAAATTTATTTTCCCCTCTTAGGTCGTGATACTGGACGATGTTTTAATAGTCATTAAGATGAAGATTAACTTGTGCTGTTTCTCCAGATAGGCATAGTTTAGTGGTTGGTGTAATGAAAAAAATCTCTTTACAAAGCTCACTCATGTTTGTTACTACTACTGATGTAACAATTGTACACTTAGTGCTTACTTAGGTCATAATCTTAAAAATAGGTGACAAGTTAACATTGGCATAGTGATATACTGTATAGGCACTTCTCATACTGTGCTGAACGCTGATTAGTGGCTTTGTTGAGTAAGGTACAAATTTATTTGGAAAATTTAGGTACCGGAAAATATCCTCCAATGAAGCTGTTAACCCTTTAGTGTTCGACGTGACCGAGCATATGTGCGTGTGTGCGTGTGACAGTGATACACAGTGACCCCTGACCCGCCATATCTACGTGCGTGTACGCAGATGTCATAGCACCTCTCCAATATTGATAATGTGTAAACATTACGACACCCTATGACCTCATCATCGATACTCCAACAACCAGTCATTTGTAACACGCTTCAATTTCGTTTCGAGCTGTAATTTGTTTAATGGATTCGATGACTTCCGATTAACAGTTTGCTTTTAATCTTACCCCAGGGGTTAGCAATCTAGCTCTATATTAGAAAAACATACTGCGTTGAATCTATGTCTGAAGTTTTTGCCCTGTAAAGAACTTCTTAGATTTTTGGTCAAATATGAATCTTTAAGAAGAAGGTTTTATGGATTTTGCAAGCGAAATTATCAAAATTCCTTAGTAAGAATGTGTTATTTGTCTAGCTTAGTGTCTTCAGCGACCTAATCCAAGTCCGAACAGTCAGTGCTGCATTATTCATAGCTACACATGTCCCATGATCCAGTGATCCGCGAGTACTCGGCCACCCAGACCCAGGATTAAGACGACCAGCCCCTCTCTGATAGATTCTTGTTTAATTGAATATTTAATGCCCCAATAACGTGTAGCCGGTGCCGACTGCCCCCTCCCACACTCCACACTCCCCTCCTACACGTTACATTTTTGATTCGACAAAGTTATGAAAGGGGGATCTTTTTCAGTAAGACTATCGGACCGCGATTTCGAATACGCTTTTTAGATAAAAAGAGTGTACGGACTGAGGGGTTTTAATTCAAAGAATGAAAGTACAATAAGGGAGGAATGGAGATTATTTAAAAGACTTATAGCTTGTGTATTTTATAACTAGTGAAAGGATGGAAGAGTCATGTTACATCAAACACTGACAACATAATTTGCGTCAAAATCTGTCACTGTTCCAGCCATAAATTAAACATTTTATCAAAAGTGACAACTTACATATTAACAGAAAGAGACGCATTAAGAAATATATTGTACCTGAAAACGTAGGTATAAAAAAAATACTCATCGTATTGGACAATTGTGTTGTATAACAACACAATGAGATTTTTTAGGAAGATCGTTAAACATTTATTTGCATTATTTATCATTTGCAGAAATATAGATAAAGATACAAACAAAATTTCCCAAAGCTGGGAAATATTTATAAACCATCAGATTCCTAATCTGGGGAACATCAAACTGGACCGCCCTTTTCAGAATACGAAAGAAGTCCGAAAGAAATTGAGTACAAGGGGGATTGATCAGTTTGGTTATGCGAGCAAGACTTGATCCATTGAGGTCCAAAGACCGGCCGCTCCCTTGGGTCAGGCACAAAACCAAAGAAACAGCGACTGCAGGACAAAATAGTCTAATGTGATTCACCTACCCCATGCCCAGGAGACCAAGTAGGCCCAGATGGGCAAATTGGGCAGCCGACCTAAATAGTATGGACTCCCTAGCGATGCCTAGGGACCCATGCAGATATTCCCTTGGGAATAACAATTTGTTTTTGACAAATCAGGGATTTGGCTAAGGTATAATAAAACTAAATAATTAGATTTTTTCAACTATGTTTATTATACGTGGTATCCAAGGGGAAGTTCATTTTCATTTAAACAGTATTAGCAAAGTAAACAACTGTTGTTAGAGATTATGTGGCTGAAAATATTACTACAGCTTGAGCTTCGTGAAAAAAAACTGTGTATAGTGTTCAGAAAAATATTTAGATTTTATTTAATTCATACATTTATGATTTATTACAATTATCAAATTAATCGACAAGTAATTTTGATTCAATGATTTCGTGACTAGGTTTTGTTAACAAGAAGATTTTTTTTTATATGCTACAATGAATATGGCACAATATGCAGACTAATATATTTGTCACGGATACTGTACAAGTAAGATTTTGAGCTATGCGGCAAAGGTGTTGGTAGAACTTTGCGACAGATGTATTGGTAGAACTGCGCGACTAGAGTCAAGACCCCACCGTCTTTATAATTTCACCACAAGTGTGTCTGTAGAACTTCACGACAAGTGTACCGGTAGATCTTCACGGCAAGTGTGTCGGTAGAACTTCGCGACAAGTATACCGGTAGAACTTCGCGGAAAGGGTGTTGGTAGAACTTCGCGACAAGGGTGTTGGTAGAACTTCGCAACAAGGGTGTTGGTAGAACTTCGCAACAAGGGTGTCGGTAGAACTTCATGGCAAGTGTGTTGGTAGAACTTCGCGACAAGGGTGTTCGTAGAACTTCGCGACAAATGTGTCGGTAGAACTTCGCGACAAGGGTGTTGGTAGAACTTCGCGACAAGGGTGTTGGTAGAACTTCGCAACAAGGGTGTTGGTAGAACTTCGCAACAAGGGTGTCGGTAGAACTTCATGGCAAGTGTGTTGGTAGAACTTCGCGACAAGTGTGTTGGTAGAACTTCACGACAAATGTGTCGGTAGAACTTCGCGACAAGGGTGTTGGTAGAACTTCGCGACAAGGGTGTTGGTAGAACTTCGCGACAAGGGTGTTGGTAGAACTTCGCGACAAGTGTGTTGGTAGAACTTCACGACAAATGTGTCGGTAGAACTTCGCGACAAGGGTGTTGGTAGAACTTCGCGACAAGGGTGTTGGTAGAACTTCGCGACAAGTGTGTTGGTAGAACTTCACGACAAATGTGTCGGTAGAACTTCGCGACAAGGGTGTTCGTAGAACTTCGCGACAAGGGTGTTGGTAGAACTTCGCGACAAGGGTGTTGGTAGAACTTCGCGACAAGTGTGTTGGTAGAACTTCACGACAAATGTGTCGGTAGAACTTCGCGACAAGGGTGTTCGTAGAACTTCGCGACAAGGGTGTTGGTAGAACTTCGCGACAAGGGTGTTGGTAGAACGCGGCGTGAAGATGCAGCGGACAATTAACAGGGATTTATAGCAGGGTAATGTAAGACGTCAGGTGTTGTAGGATTACCGTACACACTACACACTCCACGCAACCTCTCTCTCATACACACCCTCTATCCCTTCTTGTGTGACTCGCTCCCCCCAAACTTTATACAGTAAATTAATCCATTCTCTTAATATACCTTACATAATCTACTATAGTTATGACTATTAATTCGATCGATAACGCAAATTGATTTTGTTGTACCCATTCACAAGACGACCACCCCACACCATATATTCTTTGTAAGACAAAGCGTACGAAGAAATTGAATTAATTATTTAATTATTATAAACTATTATTGTTTTATTATGTGAATAGTTACATTAAGCCCCTACATATTACATAACCTTAATCCTTTACCAAGAACCAATCGATGTAAAATTCGTGGTAAAAGAACCTGTCATTTTGTCACACAATTAAATTCATTAATCAATGAACTTTACAACAATTTTTAACAATAAATCAATTACATAATCACTAGAATATAGCCCTTTTTATCAGTTTTAATTCTATACTCTGCGTACAAAAGCATTCAGTTCTGATGTTGACATCCTATATACGAAACAATGTGCGAATTTTATTTTGGGCTGCATGTCTAGATTCCTTTGGTTGACAAAAGGACTGGATTGCTTAAATGTGCTAATTGATAATTTCCTGTTTTAGTGTTAAATTTAATGCAACCGGAATACTTAATCATTCTTTAACTATAGTAATTGATTATAATTTATTGATTTATTACATCGATAATAGTTTACTAAAAATATTGAATTTAAACGTTTATTTTTTATACATATTAATTTGGAAAATGACCATGAACCCACATAAGGCACGATGGTTCATTAAAAGAAGAAATAAAACATCCACTTTAAATCTATGAACAATAAAAACATCAACAGCTGTTCGTGTACCAACTCGTGTTCAAACACGTTCTGCGGCCGGGAAAATATTTTTCAACGTTAAGCAATTATTTACGTCATCACACACCCTTTAGCGAACATTTTGTGACACAAAAGTGTTTATTTTGATGGCCAGTAAGTTGTTTTGAAAACAAGCGGCGGGGATCGTCATATGGCGCGTGTTATTTGATTATTGCATATCTGGAGGACAATCGAGAACAGCTGATGCCTGAGTCAACAACACCCCTCACCCCGCTGAAACCGCTTTATATTAAATATTATATAATATTTAATATAAAGTTTAAATATTATATTTTTGAACTTGGGGCAATTTTCTGTAATATAATTTGCAAACTTGTATACAATCGCAGATAAGTTTAAGTTATGGTATTCTACGTCTAAATATTTATCCTCTCTCATAGTTGTACCCAAGCTAATGACAGCTGCGCCATCATAGGTGTTTATACTCTGTTGATTGTATGTGAAGTGTTCACAGTTAGAACACAATCACAGACCACCATTAGTCCTCCTGTTATGACGCTACTGATCTAGTTATGACGTCATCGTTCTCACACCATATAGCTAAAGCTGTGACGTTTTAAATATTATATTTAATTGATATAATTACCTATCGCTAATAGTTACGTGATATTTTTTGATAAAATGGTTCCATTTTAGTATCAGAATTCGAGAAAAATATAATTCTTACTTATAGTGCAATAATTAAATTTATATACAAAATGCAAAGTTAAAGGTCAAAATTCTAAAACTATTCATCCCTTGCAATTTTGGTGTATAAAACGTTTTAAGTTTTAATGTTTAAAAGTGTATGTACAAAAAACACAATCACCTATTGATGGTTGTATAGTTATTACTGTCCCGTTCTGGCATAAGTTTCCTAAAAACGTTACATTTTAATTTGAGCATAATATATACACCCCTTTATCTTTTTAATTAGCATACCAACCACATAAATTCGCATATACAATTTTTAGTAAATATGCCAATTTTCAGCCTCCATTAGTCCTCCTGTTATGACGCTACTGATCTAGTTATGACGTCATCGTTCTCACACCTTGTAGCTTAAGTCGTTGTAACGTTTTAAATATCATTGATTATATTCTTAAATTGAGGGGGATATAAGATATATTGGTTTAAAATAACCATGCTATTACTTATCGCTAATCTTTTCATAGCATTTCTTAATAACTCGTTCCCTTTCAGTATCAGAACTCGAGAGAAATATTGTAACAATAACTTGGTGCAATAATTTAATTTAATATGCAGAACACAGAGTTAGACAAAACGATTAAAACTGTTCATACCCCAGCAATCTTTGTGTCCAAAACGTCAGGATTTATATACAAGAAAAAATTTTAATAACTTTAAAATTTTAAAAAAATTGTGTGTCTGGTTATTACTTCCCCGTTCTGGCACAGGTTTCCTAAAAACTTGACAATATTTTTATTTGAGCATAATATATCCCTTTATCTTTTTAATTAGCATGCCAACCACATGAATTCGCGTATACAATTGTTAGTAAATACGCCAATTTTCAGCTGGTGTAGAAGTACAGTGTGAGCTCGGCCAGATGGTGGACTACTGTGGCCGCAGCTCACGCGCTAATTCTATTTGTTAGCGTTTACTCGCCCCAAGCTAATCCAGTTTACACGCCTGAGTCTCGCTCGCCACTTCTTTGTCACTGCCCTTCAATCCCTTCCTTCCACTTCAACACCCACCTTACCTGCTCTTAGATCAGAAAACCTTTACCCGCATTCCATGTAAAATAAATAATTTCAGATGTTAGCTAATAAGCATAAACAAATTTTAAACTAATGCTCTCGTATTTTATATTCTATTTTCTTCAAACTACATCTGACACTGTTGAACTAAAAAGGTTTAATCTTAAAACACGTCAAAGGCTATGGACACTACCAGGGCTTTATATGCATTTGTACTGGGCATTTTCGTATTAATTCAAAAAACTTTAACTTTTTTATTTTTAATCAAAACACCACAAACCATACATTATTTTTAAGAGTAAATAAAAAATGAATAGCTTTAAGAAAATATATGTTATAGGGTGGTAAGACTTTTTTTATTTAAAAAATGGTCTAAAAATAGTCATGTTATGACAGAGAACATATAAAATTTACCCCAATGTTTTCATTTATTTTTGATTTATAAATTAATAGATAACATATCGAATTAAATTTTTAAAACATTTACTATTTTTTATACAGTTTATATACCGTATATTATTATATATTATATCCATATAGTGGCCATTTCAGAATAAAATATTAAAACATGACATTTAATACAATGATAATAATAATATATCGTAATAATACTAAGCCTGTAATAAAAACATTAAAACGATCTTAAAAATCAAAAACATTAAAAGGATTATGAAATATTGATGCCCGATCTATACTCGGGCTTTGTTCACAACGACATTGGCAGCACCCCGACCTAAACAAATAGGGTTCAAATTAACATTGGGCTATGTCAAGCAAATTATAATGAAACAATCTTTTTCCATAAAATTACATAAATAAATCATTAAAATCAGTTTTGTCACATTAAGGATAACTTTTTTTACAGGCAGAACTTGTGTGGTGAACTATAGAAGAACTATCATCTATATGCAATGAAGCTAAGGAAGAGGACAATAAACGTTGCATAACAATATAAACTAATATTTATCCAATTTGATAATTAGGTACAATAGAGTGATTAGTTTTACTTCGACCTTATGCCCCTATAATTGGACCTCGATAAATCATTCATATAATAGTTTGGATAAAAGGCTAATACTCAAATTTTGCACATCGTTGACGTTTATTTTACTAAACTCAAATTAATCAAGTCCACTTTCTGTTGTGGCCGCGGAGAGCAACATGCTCCAGGGCATGCAATCACAGTGTATTGATTTTTGTATGATACAATATTAAAGGGCAGTAAAGGAGGAGGCTGCACATAACAAGCTAGCCTCTGTTAAGAATTAATACCGTAATCACGTGGCCATGGGGGGCGGTGGAGGGGGGAGTCACGTGGCTGTCACGTGGTCTATGTGATACTATTTACATTGCAGATTGGCTCAACTGACTCATGTAATAGATTGGTCCGCAAACATCGCTGTGTGTAGGGGCGACTAGGGGAGTCTAATCATCAAATGTCTCTATCTGTAATTACATCTTAGCTTAATGAAACTTAATAGTTGTAACTAAACTTCCCCTCTTAACCGGTTTGATTATCGGTGAATCTTAGAATTTGACTTACAAAATAAGAGTAAGAACGAACAGTGGCAGTACGCTTTCATGTGTGCAGAGTTATCAGTTACTCAAGATGTAATAAAATAATTAGTTTGTTCATCCCTAATCTGATCTTTCATTCAACCTTGTCCTATTTAAAATACTCATTCGTTACTTTTACTTATTGACTCTGTATAAACGAAAGTGAAGAATAATCCGAGAGAAACTATACATTACGCATATTATCTGGTAAATTAAACATTGGTTCCTATAGTTAGTTATTATTTATACCCGAAAAGTGTCAAATATCCTCAACTCATTGGGGTAATCAATTTATGCACAATTAATTGAAACTTTAGAAGTATTATGTCACTCCACCATTATTTGTCACTGGTGCACAAACCTATTTTGCAAAGATATGGTTTAAAACGAGGAAAGTTTCTTTACGTCATTGTAGCTCTTATTCACGCGCATAGATATTTAATAGTTTAAAGTAGTGAGCCAGCTGTTATTTAGTTGGATGGTACGTCTGAACTCAGTAATGTACTGTAATGGAATGTAGCTTACATGTTTCAGCTTTGACTTTTGTTTTATATAGTCTCAGCTCTATTTTTTATCAAAGCAACCCCGTTTATTATTATTGAAGTTTGAACTTTAACCTAGTCTTGATTGAAGTTCACATGCATGAAAAAAGGTTAGTGATTTTCAAAAGGTTATTGCACTAGGTGAGCATTGAATTTATATAACACAGAAACGTAATAAGAAATTTGATTAGGGATGAGTATTCAACATTCAGTCTGACCAATAGTATTGAGTATACACATACGTTTATACAGGTATGATAATAATAGGTGCGATTATAGACGGGAAAACTAATTTAAACACAACGTCTAATTCTAACGTCTAATTGTCTATTATTACCTACTCAAAATGTGTCATGTTTTTCTAAACTGAATCCATTAAAAGTGGCGGGTGATTGGGTGTGTACTACAGTAGTTTACACAACATGACGGTTGCTTGATGTCTGACCGTTCTAGGTTAGATGAGCTGTCAAAGGACCATTGCTTCTAATGCCATATTGACATCAGAACAATCGGATTACGACCCATTAACGCAAGCTAATGGTCATTGGTGCCCACATGATTGCACTGGAACACTGCAGTGGCTCTTGTCGCAAACACTTGCAACTTACTTCTACTGTTACTTACGAGACCGGTTGAGATCAAGGTGTATTGAATATAATAAAACTTGAGTATACAATTTAGAAAATTTTAATTGATGATGTATTTTATATTCACTCCGAAAGAAAGCATGTACTAAAGCTTTATTTAATGGATGAAAAAGCCTCTCCCATTTCAGTAAGGAAGGCTCAGAAAAACGTGGTACATCACCCTAAATTACAATAGTGCAACACCATAGTAACATTTAATTGTATAACTCCTGTCTTTACTATCACTTTGGGGAGCAAGTGGTTAAAGCGCGGGACTTCGGTTCCTGGGGTCCCGGGTTCAAATCCTGCCTAATCACCAATTAATTTTATGTAAGTGATAATGCGTAACCATTGGTCTAGCCTGAAGTAATGTGAAAAACAATACCAGGCTCTTGCCTAGTGTCACAGGAAAAAAATCACTTTGTTGAATAATTTATATGTGAACGCAAAACTTAGTCTTGATCATAATCTTTCGTTTCCCTTTCGAACAAAACTTTCATTTCAATCTCAACTGAAGTTTTGTTAAAGAATCTGATTTAGTCGCGACAGAAGTGTTTGTGTATACGCTGACAATGCTAAATACTGTACTACTAAGTATGAAGATGGACCTACCTGTTTGGTGACAGAGTCGATGAGGCGGACGAATATGTCCTGTTCCTGTCGAACTCCTGAAACAAACACTTGGATGTAATTGAGTGTCGAGTCTGCGAGACATTAATGCACAAGGTCCTGTGCAGGTCTCCAGGGGCCTTGCAAATCAGGCCGTGACAAAAGCCCTTTGTCGACCGCACTGGAATTATTAAACGAACAAGAAGTAGGATCAAAAAGGCTCATTAAAGTTACAGTTAGAGCACAATTAACGGTGTGACCGCAAACAAAGCAGATCCTGTGGCTAACGGTGGGGAGAGCCCTGTGAAGACATCCGAGCAAACAGCGCCAGCCGAAGGAGCAAACATGGCTTTGTACACCTCGAATTGTTAATGCGGTTTAAAGTTAACCGGGTAATGGCGAGCACTTTGTGGACCTGCTTTGTCGACGAGATTGTTTGAGGGACATTGTTGAGAGGGTTGAAAGGTTACTCGGATATCCGGCGTGATTATCAAGTACTTCCAACAAAACCTGGGAGTTAAATAAAATCATAAAGTTGTTTATTATTATTTTTACCATCACTATTATTCTAGGAATTATGATTTTATTCCCGGCAATGGTTACCAAATATAACACGAGTTATTGGAAAGATATGCATAAATTACCATTCTACTATTCAAACAAAATATTCTCCAAAAAATCCAATCAAGTTGTTTAAATTGGCGTCGCGCTCCGATTATTCGGTTTTATGACGTGTTAAGATTTTGGAATATGGGTTTTACCTATATCAATATGTACAAAAGAAAAAACTACGTTCTTGCGATACGTTCATTGGTATCTGAGATCTTGTGCAAACAACCACATATGCAAGTATGTAGAAGTTTGTAATGTACTCTGTTTGATTGAGATTGGCGTAGTTATTTCGTCAGTAATTTGCTTTTAAATCAAATCAGATACTTGACTGCCTCAGGACATCACGTGTCCATATAATTGACATTATCAAACGTTGCACCACTAATTATTACAATGTTATTCAGGACGGAGGGTCTTCTAACGACGCTGAACTGCTACAGATGAGTCAACTTCGGCCATTTCCCTTGTTACAAAGTCCTAAAACTTGGCAAGATGTACATTTTTGCCCGGAAATGAGCTCAAGAATGACATTAATTTGTAAGAAGTACAGATGAGATACCGAGTCTTCTTCCTACTCTTAGATAACTTTAGATACTTAATATATTGTTAAAATACATATAGAGGATCTATATACATAATAGAACGCATGTGTTATTACATTATCTTATGATTTTATCATTTTTCTAAGTTTAAACCAAATTAATGCGATGTTTAGTTAGGCTAACCTAGAGAATAATCCAAGTCTTTGGATGTTTAAGATCATAATCATTAGGTAAGAATTTTGTAGTTTTCTGATTATACTTTACTGCTTTTTAAGTAAGCATTCAATGGTGTTGGATGAAAAATCATTTTTAATGTAATCATTTGTAATGATTACTGTAGTTGATTTGTGATTGCTATTAACATTAATGAAAAATCCTATCCTCATATAACAGTATTTATGTGTGGTTATCAGTGTTATGTGGTATTATTTATACGATTAGGAGGTGAAAATAAACTATATCGAACCGCTTGGAGTCATGCAAACTAAAATCTACGTGTGTGTATATACTTGAAGAAAATAAATTGAAATACATATTTATAAGTAAGAGAGATTTGATAAAAGGAAATACCGAGATGAGTTGTCAAATAAGGCATATTTAGGTTGGTGTATGAATGGCTTAAGTACAATTTGTGTATAATTTATCAAATTTACTTACAAGCAGTTTACTAGACACAACGGCTGGAGAGGACGGGGTCTGGACACAGAGCAATTAGTATTTGGCCATAAGCCTCTCAGATTTATACCCAGATTATCATCTTAAATATATTATTGATAATCCCTACCTGAGGGGAAGGGGAGGGGGTGTCTTGAGCTGGTCGATAGGTAATTAATCGAGACCACGTGGCTATAGGCTACCGCGCACTTAGTCTATTAGTAGCGATCATGTGATGTATGACGTGTACTGTGTGGGTGCATGTAACGTTACCACACCTACATGGGCACTACACTACACTAATGATTGCTATGTGTAACTACGGTATACCTCGCATACTGGGCACTACTGGGCAGTAGGCACTGGGAACTGGGCACAACGGACAAATGTTATCGAGTATTATGTTAACATTAACATTCACCCATCGAAAATATGAGGTTTTGGTAAGTTACTTGCACCCTGTCAAATTCAATGAACTGTTGAACATTACTCCCTGTTTTCTGCGGAAACAGTTGGCCATGATGATAAGCATTGTTAAATTGAGTTGTTCGATGACAATATAAAAAATGTAAGTGAGAAAATGTGTGTAATTTTTTGAACAATCTAACAATAAACCGGTACGGTAGTGAATTTAAAAAATATTTTCTGGTAACACTATCAACTATTTATAATTTTAACTTGGATTTAAATTCCTTTGTATATAAAATTGTTGAATTGTTTTCCATACTTTTATTAAATGTTAAAAGTACGAGTATAAAATGAGTTGTACAGGGATTTTTAACCTCGACTCAAATAACAAGTACAGAGAGTGGATACATTGTTTAAGGACAAAACCAGCTCATAATTTAGTATCCCTGTTTTGTTTTTATTCCATTGCCCATCAGTTTATCTAGGCATGGTTGAATGTTTACCTGCACGGTCTTATGGTATAAGGAATTGATAGTGAATGAGACTAAACGTGAAATTTCCATGTGCTAAAAAAGTAAGCATTGTAGCCATACGTTTTATGTTTTCTATAGATTGGTTTCCTTAAAATTGGAACAAGTCTTCGGTAAGGTTATAATATAAACTATAATCATACTTGGAAACCTAATTACAAACCTTCTTTAGCATAGCACCAATAATGTAATTCGAATGCATTTTTCTACAAAACATATACTCTTTAAGCTTGTGAAAATACAATGTTGAGAAGACTAAATCTTGAAGACAAGAATACAACAATGCATATTAGGTGGTTGGCAATGAAATAAAAGACACAGGGATATTATAAGCTAATTTTGTCCTTAAACAGTGTCTCTTGGTAGTTATCGTTGGGCTGCGTTTAAAAACATCCTGCATATACTTTTTTCACCATTGTAAGTATTACTGAAGGGAAAGTATATTTACTCACCACTAGCATACAGTAGTTGCAGCCTGTACTGGATACCATTGTTCGTTTTTTGAGACTCAGCTTCCTGAAAGAAAATATTGCAATTACTAGATATTCTCTAATAGTCTAATAATACTGTACTTTCATAGCTGCAAAGACAATCTTTGTAAACGTGTGCACTGTTTTATTAGCTTAGGACACACATACCTGTATTTTATTGCCAAATATTTGCGACATTGTTGCTCGATGTATGAATGCGATATTTGAAAAGCATTGCCACCCTAAATCATTCCAATCAACAATCGACTGCAAAAACCGCCTATGTTTAAATTAACAGTCGATTTCCATCAGACAACGGCTTCGTTTACTTGCTGACATTTTAACTGGCTTACACATAAATATTACTTTTTAACTTCTGGAATCAAGTTTTAAAACACGAATCCACTTGTCAGTACTAAACTATAAAGGGAAGACTTTTATTGAAAAAAGTGAAAATTCTGATCTGCTATTGACACTTTGAGTGTATAATACTCTTGAAAACTGTATCAACGGTCTATAACATTATACAAGTACATCAATAGGGGGACAATCGGCAAAGCATGAAATGAACTTTTACCTACGACAGTTTTTTTTAAGTAGCCGATTCAATTCAGTCCTTAGAATTTAAAAGATTCACTTAACAGTTTCGTTTACTTACTTAACAGATCACCGCGTTGTTTTACTTAACAACACGGGTAACGGACCAATGAGGTTCTAGGATTGAGAGAGAAGAAGTAAAATTGCAATGCTTTGAATGTCAACTAATAAGCTGTTTAGATCAATTTAATTGTTGATTGGTGCAATTAGTGTTTGGTACAATGATTCGTTGCATCAATGTCAGTGGCAATGAGAGGTTATAAACGAAAACAAAACCTCTCTTAGAAGTTTTGAGTAGTTATTTTTAGTAATTAAAACACTATCGTGGGTCGTGTACGCAACTCGCGAAATAGTCTTAACTTTCTACTCTTATCGTTAACACTTATCTTCACACGATCGTTGCGTAAACTACTACATATTTAGTTACCGTTCCTCTACTAGACGAGAGCAGATCATAAGCTTTAAAATTACACATCAACAGTAAAAATTGACGAAGTATGATGGGCAAATAAGAGGTGTTACAGAGAAGCCTCTTATTGTACTGTACTAAAAGAATATAGATATTTAAGTTACTTCAGTGTCTATGTAGCTATTCTATATGCACAGTGACAGCCTTACTTATACAGTAACTACACGCTGTACATCACATCAGAGCCCATGTTATGTGTTGTGGTCAGAGATGTGACGCGTCGTTCACAGTAGAGGATAATCTAATTCCACGTGTCTAGTTATCCATGATTAGGTGTTGAATGATTTATTGGCGTTTACGTTGTCTGACGTCGCGGTTGACGCGTTTCACGTCGTTATGTTGTGGTGTAACACGGAATTGACAGACCGATTGTCCAACCCCTAATCATATACATTGGTGAAGTTTATATACGGTAGTAATAGTTTTAAACTTACTGAATTACACCATTTGTAGGCGTACTTGCATGTCCTCACTGCAGTGTGTGATAATAATGTACGGAAAGTTAATAAAAGACTCGTCTAATAACACTTAAAACATATATTTACGCTTATACTGTTAACTCATAAGACGGTAAATATACATACAAGATGGTAAGTGGTGATCGATTTCGATTTAACACTCCAATCATCATCAGACCCAATAGGCGAATGACGCGAATGATGATTGGAGTGTCTAATCGAAATCGATCACCTCTTACCATCTTGTATGTATATTTACTGTCTTGTGAGTTAACAGTATAAGCGTAAGTATATGTTTTAAGTGTTATTAGTCGTATCTTTTATTTACTTTCGGTAAATTTAATAACACGTACAATGCTGATCAAAAAGTTATTTATAATAATGTAGAAACGTGTAACATGCCTTAAACTTAACACCAATCTTAAGATAAATAGTTGAAGAATTATTCATAAAACTATCTATCAAAGTGTGTCATGATTTAATTGTTTGAGAGAGTATATCTACTCAAATAATTGACAGTTTAGAATATCAACAAAAATTTGCTGATGATTTTATTTTTAGTATACCTACATTGATATCATTAATATTATACAGGGTTAGTAAAAAGTGTGGAGACCCCCCTTTATTTTTTTAAAGGGCCATACTAGAAAAACTGAACTTGGCACACCTTTATGGCATGCTATGTAGTACTTTTTGGGCATAACCGTCACTTGGTGTACATCCCCAAAATGGGGGATTTTTGGGGAAACTCACAAATTTCAAATACAAAGACCCATCGAGTGACACCTCATTTTGAAGATCCTGGTAAAAGAAAACTAACAACGCAAACTAGAGGTTTCTATCTCAATCCAGTAAAAAATGGAAGCTGATTGAAATCCTTAGAAATCAGAAATAACTCGCAATTTTATATTCAATTGGCTGCCATATTTTACTGTGTTAAGATAGAGACCAATAGTTTGCGTTGTTAGTTTTCTTTTATTATGACCTTCAAAATGAGGGGTCACTCGATGGGGCTCATCGATTAAAATGTTTGAGTTTCCCCCAAAATCCCCGTTTTTGGGTTTGGGAACTTATGATAATTTCAATTAGCTGCCATTTTGTTCTGAACTGAGATAGAGACCTCTAGTTTGTGTTGTTGGTTTTCTTTTACCAGGACCTTCAAAATGGGTGGTCACTCGATGGGTCTTTGTATTTGAAATATTTTAGTTTCCCCCAAAATCCCCCATTTCGGGGATGAACACCAAGTGGCGGTTATGCCCAAAAAGTACTTCATAACATGCCATAATGGTGTGCCGAGTTTAGTTTTTCTAGTATGGGCCGTTAAAAAAAAAACAGGGGGTCTCCACACTTTTTACTAACCCTGTATGTTTCACATCGTGCGAGATCATTGATGTCCGATTCGAAACGCAGTTCGCACTAAAAACATATAAACATCACAACGTTATAGCGGTAATAGCCTAGCGAGGTACATTTGGGGCGCCTTGTGAAGACTTCGCCAGTGATATATGCAGGACTGTAGCATTAGCATACACATAACAAGGAGTCATGTAGATGGATGGACTGCTTTTTCTTACTACAGTCCAACATAACACTTTCTTCAGTATACGCTCTATTTGTCCATTGACTTAATAATGCTTGTTGAGTTATCGAGATCATAATTTACATTTGATTATAAATGACTTCATTAGCTTGTATAAACACGTAGTACAATATAAGTAGCACGCAATAGTAATAATTTAGACGAATCATTCAAGAAGCATTATAATATTATTTATTCTATTCATAGACCCTAATAGTACGCGTCTGGGAGCAGGTTAGTTTTGTGGTAGAGCGAGAGTCTTCGGTTTAAGGTATCGGGTTTAATTCCAGCAAAACACAAATGGAATTTTCTAAATTATAATAAATCAGCCCCTATGCCTAGCCTGAAGAAATCTTTAAAACTTTCACCGGCTAGAGCCTAGCACCTAGGACAAATGTACGTGTATGAGACTATTCAATTATTTTCCACACTCTAATATCTGCCTATGTAGAACATTACATTCACTGAGCTACAAAGTATTTCCGGTGTCAGAGTGCAAGTTTGTTGTTCCGTTCATCGATCTACCTGTGTCTAATTATCTGCTCCCTTATCAGATGGATTAATGTCTGATAATTGTGAGTGCCACGCAAGGACTACACGCCACCTCACGCTACAGGTCGGTGGTCATCCTCACTACACAATATCACACTATTCATATTGTGTATTGTGTAGTGAGGGAAAAAGATATACTATGCTCGAAATAACGCGTTACCCTGCTATCCGACATATCTTATCATTCGAGGGGTGAATCAGTGGCTTAGACATGAGCACCACGGACTTCGCAACCAAGGCAGCGATGTCGTAGGTTCGGATCCTGGAGTCTACTACTGTACTAATTTGTATCAGTACAGTTCACCCTTATACGTCACCCTTATACATTGCTGCATACGTTCCATGCACAGGTTTCTGTGGTCCATGTGAACGGGCAAAATCAATGTAAAGGATATCACCGGACGCACAACACTTCACTTATCCGCCATATCGCCACGATAGTATGCCTTGAACCATACTTTATTTTGCTTTTCGTCATATTGCCACGAAAATATGCCGGGGACAATGCTTTGTTTTCCCGACACATTTCCACGACAGTGTGCCTTGGAAAATGTTTTTTTTTCGAAAAACCGCCACTTAAGTGTGCCGCGGACGAAAATCCTTTATCCGACATATTGCCATGAAAGTGTGAAGGGTAAAACCCTCCTTTTTTAAACATATCGTCACGTATGCCGGGGACAATGCTTTGTTTTCCCGACATATCGTCACGAAAGTGTGCCGGGGACAAAGCTCTGTTTTTCGTAATATCGCCACTAAAGTGTACCGCGGACGAAAATCGTTTATCCGACATATCACCACGACAGTGTGCCGGGGACGGTGCTTTGTTTCAGTCTAATTACCCTCCTCTATCGACTTGTGGCGACCATATCTCAGCCGCATCGGATAATTCATCAGCGTAATAAATGAAATTAGCCGGCGGCGATACGACCGCGGGCGTGTGTGTGTGTGTGTGCGTGTGCGTGCTGGCGCAACGTCACGGATATTTAAATTACGCCGTCCCTCTCCTCGTGCAGCTGATTTTAAAGCGTGACATCAGTTTCATTAAAAGTCCAATTAGCTAACAGCGGACGGAATCTGTCCGATCTCCGCCAAACAAACTCGTCTTTCCGCTGTTCCTATGCTGTTTTGATTGTCATTCTAGTTGTTGTTGGTAAATGTTAAAATGGTAAAGATTTTATTGTGATGCGTTGTCATAAAATTCAGGTTTTTTTATATCTGAGAATTTTGAAATTATAAAACTCAACAAGTATCACTGTACCTGGTCCTTCTCTATGAAGCCAATGAACGCTGTCCTCTCGATCTCGATGGGCTGCCCCGCCCTGTCGTAGAGAGCGATCACAAAGTGGAAAAAGTTGGATTTTCGGAGGTTGCTGGGCGGCTGCTTCTCGAAGTGGGCTCGACCAACCCCCGTACTGCAACACACAGACATTTATATAGCAAAGGGCTTCTACCTTTACCACAACAAGGTTGCCAATTGCTGGGCTTAACAAAGAAACCCCCAAAACCCAAACAAGGGGTTAACCTCCTATCTTCATAGCCAGGATAGATCCAACCTTCAATACCTAACGAATAACCCTTTTCCTCCATAACAAACCCCCCTATTAACCTAAATCCATTATTGAAAAAGACATATTCCTGTCTTACAGACTTGACGCTGACTTTATTTATAGTGATAATGATGTTTGTATTAATATATAAAGTGACTTTTCATACCAATATTTAATTTGCTATAAACTATTTCAGGGAAATCCATTGAGTGTGATACTTAAGATTTAGTGACCCTAAATAGAGTGTGCAAATGTTGATTTAATACTACGTTTAACTATACAAATATCCTTAAAACCAATTGTAAACACATTATGCCAGTTTACAAGTCTAAACCTGCGTCTAACAAGATCTGAATCAAGTTTTTTGTTACATTAACCTAGAGTAGAATGTTGTACATGTATTTATAAAAGTTGTTATAACACAGTAGAATGTAGAATGTAAGATGTACGCTGCAGCTACAGCACCACATACAAGCACCCCGTGTAGCACCTCTCTTGTACAACTTGGTTACTCTCAACTTGCACGACCCGGTAACTTGCGTGTATCGGTTTTTATGGTTTTGAATAATATAATAAATCCGAAAACATTTACTTATTACTAAAGGTCTTTGCTATAATGTTATCTAAATAAAGCTATTTGGAAGGTCTAAAATGTTCATACAAAGTTAAAGTACGTTAAAGTCTCGTGGAGGACAGATACGGAAAGAACAATGGTTAATACCTTGTATATTTCGTAGTTTAGACTCTAAATACTTAAAGACTTAGGACATCCATCGCAAATATAGGTTTGATAATAAGTAGTGTGAACCGTTGGTGAGTATTCATTCAAATAAATTTATATTCAAATCAGTCTATATTTTACGAAGTTTTGTAATAACAGCACATCTTTACGTTATGTGTGAACCCTTGCTCCTTAATGTACATAAAGTACAGTATGTTTAAATATTTCTTTGAAAAATTAGTTTTTAAGTTCGATTAAACAAAACTGAAATAAATGATCAAACTAGATACTATAACATACATACAGTGTACTTTTACTTGTACAGTATACAGTAAACTATTTAATCCTTAACTAGTAAATAAATTGCCACATATAAAAATTGTTTTATACTTGTTTGACAGCTCACACTCTTAGTAGTAATATGAATTGAAGCATGAAATTCAAATTAAGGATTTATTCATATTAATAACGCTATATCCACTTACTCCCTACATAACCCTTCTTGTAGTGTACACACAGGAAGACTTAGAGCGAAGAACCTCCTTAAGGAGGTCTAAGGAAATTGTTGCCGCTTGAAACTTCCTTCCTTAGCGTTTAATCCTGCTTACCCCTTACCTATTCTGCTTAGGAGAGAAATACTCATGTGCCACACTTTCTATTTCCAAATACTTATGATTTCTATATTAAGTATAGTTATCTTTTTCAGTAGTTTAAATATTATTTCTGTAGTGAACGAAAAGTTGAGGATTTACTCGTATCCTCTTGCTAAAGTAGTGTTCTACATCGGACCGAACCATCTCCAGCATGCTAAATCATTGTCAGTTCAGTCTCGACACTGACATTGAGTGTGGTCATGTGAGGCAGCTAGTATAGACAATACTCGAACAAATAAATGAATCTGTTGATAAAAAAAATACGAAACAATAAAATGATGAGCTGAGAAAATTCAACACGGTGATTATCTTTAATTTACTTTTGGAAATTTTATTTAAAAATGTATAAAACTTATCGTTAACTTGCCTGTTTAAAAAAAATTAATTCAGTTGTAGTGAAAATGTACATACGTATTTATAAAATATGATAACACTTGGTAGTTCAGTTTTAATCAAGCTTAATTTAAATTTTGATATTTTAAATTCATCAACAAAAACAAAACTTAATGCGCATTTTTATTTGTTTGTCATCACAAATGCTAATTTTTGAGTAGTTATTTTGAACGAGGCATGTTTGCATAAATGTTTATAATTAATGCAAACATTTATTTTTTTATTCATGCTTATAATGGTCCTTAGAAAAACTTGCTCAACATATTTCTATTATATAGTGGCTAAAGTCTCACTAACGTAATTAGTTAACCTGTAAATTCAAAGGAAAATCATCGTAAATTTAAGAATAAAAAAAAATATTCCTCCAAAAATGTAGAGAAATGTTATAGATGAGCAGCGTTTTGTATAATAAACTCCGTGACATACGAATTTATAGTACAAAGCTATAGTTGTACTTAGATCTGAGCAGTCTAATCAAAGAGTAATGTGACCGTTACATCAAATAAATCACATTGTATTCGATTATTTAATAAGCAATTTTTTTAGTGACTACTTTAGTCTTTGCTCTGCTAGAAGTTTGTCTGTAGAGTTAGACTGCGGAGTCATATAACAGGATTATATCAGAGGAAAGTGAGTTTTCCAATGCGAGACATAATTCAATCAAGGTTCATCTCGGCGTGGAAAATATTGTTATTACGGTGGGTGGCCGAGGGTGGGGGAGGAAGGTAAGTGGTACGGCACGTCGCGCGGACAATCTTCGGATAAGCCACTTCCTCTTCCGCCGCGCCGGTTAAACGCCTCTCATTACCCGCCACTTTACCTTAATCTCCCGCGATATGTGACACCCGCAACAATGTGCAGGTAACTCATGTTTACTCCATCAATCACTTCTTAAGCATGCATTTTTGGCAATGATGTAACAAAAAATAAATTACTTTAAAATATTTGTATTACTTTTTTAAGTCTATCAATATTCAGAGCTGAAATATTTTAGCCGTTTTTTTTTTAAATGCTTAAATATATATATTTACAAAAATAAATTAGTAACTCCTAATAAAAGAATCTGTTAACGAGTATTTATTTTTCTAGTTGTAATACTAGTTTATCCGTTATGTACTTGGAGACTGAAGAGATTTACCTTAAGGAAAAACACACAAACATTGATGTGAAATGCGTGGATAGGTAATTTTTAACTGTTTAATCAGCCACCTTTAGTTTTCCCTACCGCTCTATTGTACCGATCTATTGTTGTTTTGTTTGATTCTTGTAATGATCACTGTTCCTTTACTTTGTTATTTAGACTGCCGCACCTTGGTTATGTTTTTTTCTCTCTCAAGTAGTTTATTCTTTTTACCTATTACCTGTTGTAGGTTCTTTTCTTTTTCTCTTGTTAATTTTGTATTTTTTTATTGCTCATGTTCCCGAGTTTTGCTCAATTATTCTAATTTTTATTTCATCTCTGTCTTGCTTGCTAATGTATTGAATTCTATAATGTATTGTCTGTAAAATGGTGTTTGCCGTTGAGAAAAAATAAATAAATAAACAACTGATTTACTTGAAACTGAAATAATTAAGCTCAACGTGTCAGTTTGTCCTTTTAATGTTTTTCAACATTCCTTACACATTTCGCAGCTAAGGTTATCTTTAAGATTTGCAATGTAAACACGAGAAATGTGGAGTTTCTCACGACCGACCGCAGCGTTTCCTTCCGTTCATCAGCGGGAGTTCTCAGCAGGACGTCCATGGTGGTGCTGATGGACGTGAGAAGGTGGTAAAACTGTCATCGAGCCCAGACAGTAGTCAGTATTCGGCAATGTCAGCTGTCACGGTGGCAGGTCCTCTACTAACATCTTAGCTTCTGTCCAAGTCTTTTGGTAAGAATTAAACTGAAGAGGCTAGGTATATGAACTTTAAACATCGGTCACTTCATTTACACCCTACTTCTAAACGAATAATCGAATCGATCTCCTTTAAATATCGATTATCGAAATACAAATACACCAGTATTTGTTTTTCAAACACAAACGCACTCAACAATCGATCTCTGGGTTATCTGATGTTCCGATGAGTCACTGGCTCAGGTGGACCACAGATGGCCACCCTACACGCACACACACATACACACAGACACACACAAACACACAGTTGTATAACATCTTACCACTTATTTACAATTGAAAGCACAACGAGGTCCATCCATCAAGTTGTTCCCCCTACCTCACAAATCCCTCACATATCCCACTCATTATATCATACTGCTGGTGCTATTGTTATGTTGAGTGTGTTGTATGCCAATTACGAGGTCAAAACAAATACAGCAACTATCAGTATACGTTTACCCGCACTATGATATGTTTATATCTAATGTTTCTCAAATGTTTTAGTTTCCGCCACTAAGATAATTTAAACGTTGTAAAAAAGGATGTCTGTAGCGGTAGACTGAAGTATGAAAATGGGTTTAGATGTCATTAGTGAAAAATATTTCATAAATCATCAGTTGACTAGTAGAAAGAAAGCAGCCGAAGTCATTTCATCCATCATACGCTAATAGGAAATATATCGTATTATATTATTCTAAAATAGTTGTACAGGAAATCTGTGCATTTTGAAAACTATTTAATTAGTTATATTTTTAGTTTAGCAAGATAATTCCGCATAGACTGAGTATGGAGGATTAATAATGCAAGAGACTAGTCCAATCGATTAAATATGTACTGAGACCCATAACATTTTACTACATTCCAATTTTCCTAACCAAACAGAAATTATACAGTTAAATATAGATTATGCGTTATTAATTATTTGTGATGATGAAATATAACAGAAAACACAGAAAAGATGGGAAAACAAGTCAAGAAGAGCCACAAACGCGCTCTAATGGAGTCGTCTTCTGTTGTTTGGGATTCAATTAACTAACACCCTTTGTTGAAAGCAGGCAACCGTTTTATTCTAAAATTAGCCACCTATTACAAGCCTCTGTCTGAATAGAATGAAATCTATCAAAGTCTATTTGTAGCCGAACTCCGCCTCTTTTCTTCTGCCACAATGGCGGCTGTAGAACTAAACGAAAACCAATAATTTGTCTCTGTCAAGACTAC